TGCTTATTGTCTTTGAATTTACATTATTTTCTATGCCTCAGTTTTCTCAAAGTCAGGCCAATTCGGTCAAATAGTTTTCATTCTATCTATACTTTTTGCCTTTCTGATTAAGTTTAAAAGAACGAAGTGATTTTCATTTATATTGGTCTTGGTAGTAGTTAGAAGATAGTTGAAAGATGCCTGAGGGAAAAAGAGCCCGACCTGAGGGCACTAAGTGCCCGAGTATGGATCTTTTGCCCGAGGCCATCTTCAACTATGTTCTAACTGTTGAAGAGTATGTTTTGGCTCTTTCTGAGGGAAAGATTCCAGAAAATTGTGAAAGAGCCCGGAAAATTGTGAAAGATCCCGGAAAAGTACGCGAAACTATGCAAATGATTTCTTTTTTCATTCATGCGCTCTAATATTTCATTTTTCATTCATGCCATGTCGTGAAAGAACATGTGTGAAAGAGCAAAAACATACTCTTCATGTTTTTTGTTTGTTTTTGTTTTCGGAAAAAGGGCTAAAATGCTCTAATAACTACAGAAGTGCATTCATACATTTTATTGCACTTATGATTACAATTCCGTATATGTGAAATTTTGATTTCAGATCAAGTTAATCTGCTAAAATCTAGGTAACTTGAGCTCTCCTTATTGCGAAAGTGAAAATGGCGCGGAAAAACGTGTGAAAGACTTCTAGTTTGTAAAGTGGATTTTATTTTCTGGATTTCCAAGAATAAAAAATTAATCATTGATCCATTTTTCTTAAATTGGGCTATTTTTATCAAAAAATTAGAACACAAATTTTCCAAAATTCGAAGAGTTTTAATCTGATATATTTTCTATTTTCGAAAAATTTTCGATAAAAAATTTTCAAAAGTTTATTCCACAAAAATTAAGGAATCTTGGCAATCTCAAATTTTAGATTATTTGACCGTTTTTTAAACTTTTTGGTTTCTCGAAAACTTCCCTCCGAAATATGAGATTTGAGGTTCAATCAAAGAAAATGTTGAAAAAATGCCAGGATCAAACGGCTATGTCTAATTTTTCTACTAAACAAGTTATGGCCCTGAGAAAAGTCAATATTTTAATTTTTGAGCGTTTTACTCGAAAACTACTCAGCCGAATCTGATATCAAGGGTTTAATTGAGGCAACCGGTTGTGAGGCAAAAGCGGCTACGCCTTAAACTTTGTTCGAATTTTGTGATGTATTTCGGAATTTTCTAAATCCTCAAAAAATGCACTCTTATTTTATTACAGAATCATTTAAGGTTTTGGGTGAAGCCCATTTTTTGAAATTATCTATTCTATCCAGCATCGAAACACCAAAATTTATCAAACAAATTCTTCCTACGTTAGTTGGGCCCCTAGTATACTTTCAGCCTTTTTTTGGCTAGGTTTCGTTATTCTGCTTCAAGCTTCAACTGAAACTTCGCTGTCTGTTTTCGAATAATTGCAATGATTTTAACAAAAAACTCTGTTTAGAATGTGAATGATTCATAGCTTTACCCACGCGAGCGTGCGAGTGTAGTGTTGTACTACGCAGATCGCTTTTCCTTGGCTTGAGCTTCGATTGTTTGCCAACTTGCTTGATTATATTGTATGCGATTTTATGCAATTGGCGTATGCGCCATTCTGGTGACGGTTTCAAATAACCATTCCAAAGTGATTTGTGGCCAACTAATTGGTACGCAATCAGACAGTAAATTGCTATTTTTTCATGCTTTTGTCTTTTTATTGACCCTTTTAAAGGCACTTGGCTTTTTTCAATAATAGTTTCTATCAATAATTCCATTTCCCATTGCAGTAAAATAGTTTTCTATGCTAGAAACAGTTTTATATCCTGCTAAATGCCAATTAAAATATGGAGAACATTATTTACGGATGATTGATGATTTTCTAAAAAAAAATGTTCTTAATAAAATTTGATTTGAATTTCAATCTTCGAAGATGCATTACTAACTTTAACTGAACTTACTAATGCATCACTAATGAAGTTAGGGATGATATTGATCTTGAGAACCTTTAGGTTGTCTGCCTTATAGATCTAAAGAAAGTTTTTAACGCTACAGTACTTGTTCTAAAAATTGGATAAGGCTGTTTTTTTTGAAATTGATCTTTTCAGAAATTTTTTCCAAGAATAAAAATTGTGTCCGACAAGAATCGGTTCAATGCTATTTATTTTTTTTTACCAATAAAGATCTACCTAATTTTTGCAAATCGAGCAACTCATCTTTTTTCGCTGTCAAAATAATCTACACTAACGGTAGACAACTCAATAATTGAAAGCAAATCTTTCGCAGTAAGCAGAGTGCTTCGGATGCAAAAAAACATATATGAAAAAAAAAAAAATCTATTTATAATAAAAACCAAATGAAAAAGTAGTTAGCACAAGTTATTGTTTTTAGAAAATCGAAAAAGTTATAAATTGCACTTTTTCGGTCTTTCAATGATATATATAAAAATGTGACATCCTTTGAGTAGGTTTATAGAGGTTTATCAAAATATGATAGTGTAATTTTCAAAAGTAGGCGCTTTTTTTTGCTGAACACAGCTTTTTTAATGATAAATCCGTTTCCGGAGTCCATTATAGCATACGGTTTCCTAGATTTTGATAACAATATAATGCTAGTGGAATTTACTTGGAGGATTTTGTTAAGATACAAAAAAAATTATTGCAAAAACTGTATGTTCAAAATTACTGTTAGTACAATAATGAAGACTGGCAATTTCAGACAGCCCCTGGATTTTTTTTGCTGTCGATTTTAAAGATAGGTTCAAACAAAATTCATAGCTCTCGACTATTACACTGATGAATTTAGATCTTTTACACGTCGCAGAATAACACAAAACATTTTGAAAAACCTACATATTTCTTTTAACCTAAATTACACTTGCGAGAGCAAGTGACGTGTAATTGGGAAAAAGACTTTTTCCCGGCAAACAAATTTTCTTACAAGCAATTGAGTTTACTTCATTATTGAATCTTCGAAACTTCCAGGTTTCTTACCATTAGGTCTGGAAGCAATGCGGCAGAACTTTTTTTATCCCCAGTGTGTATAAAATTGATTTTTTTCCGTTAAAAACTGAATAGTTGAACTTTTGTTTGTCTGCTCAAATTTTGTCGGCATCTTGGCCTAGAAATCGTGTGTGCTGCAAACAGGTAAAATGAAAATTTGTGGGATTGTTTAAAATTTTATTTTAGTTGTTTAAGAAGCCTTTGAATTTTTTTTGCAAAAATTTCACTCGTTTTTCTTACACCAAAAATTATCGCCCTCGAAAATTTTTTGACCTGTGGTTTTTGTAACGTTTTTGATTTTGATCTCTCACAGAATACTCTCCCAAGTCTGAGATTTTAGTTCCGTGCAAAAAAAAGGGTTGTGTAAATTTCTCCTGCTTAATCGACTACGCTTCGTTTTGTAAGTCCCCCGGAAAAGTCGATTTTTGTTTTTCTTTCCGTTTTTTGTAACTATTTGACTGTTCTCCAAAACTATTTCTCCAAATCGGAGTTTTTGGGTTCAATCAAAATAACAAGTTTTGTGATTCTCTTCTGCATAAGCGGCTATGTCCGAAATTGTTTGCAAGAAAAGCTATGGTTCTCGGAAAATTCAAAATACAATTTAGTTGTTTTTTGACCGTTGTATAGAAATTTTTTGACTTTTTTCAATAATTACACTAAACTTTTTATGTTAAACGTTCAATCTAAATATCCGGTTTTAGAAATATTTTCTGCTTAAGCGACCAGTTACTTCTTTAGAGAAAAACAGTTATGAATTTTGGAAAGTCAAGTTTTTGAACTTTTGACCGTTTTTTAGAAAGCTTTCGACGACTTTTCTTAGAAAATACTCAGTCGAATCCGAAATTAAGGGTTCCAACGAAAAAGTCGGTTGCAGAACTTTTTCCTGCAGAAGTGGTGACTCCTTATTTTTTGTAAAAGAAAAGTTATGTCCATAAGGAAGCTCCAATATCTTTAAATTTTTACGCTTATTTTAGTAGAGAAACAACAAAGCTTTTGCGCAAAGTTCAATTTTTGAAGATACGTATTTCATACGGTATCAGTATAACAAATTCGAAAAACAGTTATCTTGTATTGAGACCTGGTTCACTTAGTTTTTTCAACTTTTTTTTTCATTTTTTCCTACTTCTGTTTTTTTATGTTTGTGTTGTATCGCAAATGGTGCGAAACTCCGCTTTGCTTCTGTGTTTTAAACAGTTTTCTTTCTTGCTGTATCAAGATGATAAGGTTGAAATTATTAAAGATGAGACTACTAATTGCCTACAATTTTGTTTTATTGATTGATTGAAACTCATGACAATGTATTTAAGAAATTTGGTAAGCTAGCAACTCGTAGGCTCGATTTCGGCGGTAAGTATATTACGAGTTGTCTTTTAATGCGAGTAGATTTTTTTGCGAGTTTTCTCTTGTTGCGAGTTGTCGCATTGCATTCTTCCATATATTTCCTTGGTAAATAATTCTAGCTAAACTCTTGGTAAATAATTCTAGCTTTTCTGTTATGTAAGGTTTTCATCCGTTTCGATTTGTCATAACCGTTTCTTTCCCATGAATATGTAAATTGAACTTTAGGACTTCCTCGAAATAAGTAATAAGACATTGATCTCAAGAATGTAGACAAAAAAAGAAGATTTTCGCTCAGAGTCACCTGGAAACGGATCTGTAGCTCCGATGGCGATCTCCTAAGACAATACTAATATTTTTTAGTAAGTGTGTTGATTGTGAATTTTAATTTTTTTTCTGCCTGAAAATATTTTATTATGGTTATTACTCTGGAAACTGTATAAACTCTGGAATATGTTTCACGATCTTCGTGTGACTGAAAGGCATGAAAAACGCTGAACTTGTTTTTCGATCGCTATTAAATTGAGTACATGATCTGCTAGATGGCTTTGCTTTGTATCCTATCCGGTTTTCATGAATCAATTTACTTTCTTTTCATTAAACAGGCCTTTTAATTTTCACATCGTTGTTGGTATTAAATCTGTGAAACCGTTTTTCATTCACGTGCGTTCAATCGTAACACCAATCGAACTTCAGTGTGGTTTAATATACGTGCATTTTTGTCTATTTTTCAGATTCTGTATTGTTTATTTGATCTGATTTTTTTTGGAACCAATATTGAGCTGTAAAATGCCGCGTAAGTAGTTTTTTATTATTTTTAGACGGTATTCGAAAACAGTTGAAATACCCTAGCATCAATAAATACATAACATATATTTCTGTCCAGACAATTCGATCTTGAATTAGAATTATTTAAGCTTATTTTAAAGCGCTATTGCTATTTTCAAAGGCTCCCAGCTAGACTAGATTAAAACCGACCAAAATGTATGATTTATTTGAGTCTTTGCTAACTGAAACTCCGAGTTTCGATGCTTGAATGACTGATGCTTTTTTAGCCAAGAAGACAAAGAAACAAGTTGAGGATGAAGGTCAGTATTTTTTAAATTTTAAAGAATTGAGAGAAGTTCATCAAAAAATTATATTTCTGAAATGCTACTTTCAAGATGAAAATTAATCTATTTTAAGTAATGAATTTAGAGCCCCGGATGATGAATGGAGTGTTTATGTTTCCAAATGGCGACAGATACGGTATGGAAAAATGTTTTAATTTTGCATAATTTCAAAACGGATTTGTTATTCAACAATAATTTCTATAAAATTATTGAAATATTGAATTCTGTCTTAAAGGAAAAAAATTTTAAAAACTTTTTCATGAGTTATACTAGATGTATGTCCGTCTTTGTTAGCGTGCTTAAAATTCTTTTCAACTTACGGCGCAAACAGCATTTTCCTTAATGGAGACAAAGAACCACTCAATTTTTTCGAACACTAATAGCATCAAGTGAAAAAGAAACCTGCTATTCTAAAACAAGGCAACTACTAGTTCTCTTATTAGTTCATTACTTAACCTATCTTTGATGCCGTTGATTTTTTCTAGACGGTGACTACATGCGCAAACCAGACGGGACCATTTTCAGACAGGGACAAGGCTGTCACACTGCCTCAGATGGGACCAAGTACGAGGGCGAGTGGCTCAATGACACCATGACAGGCCAAGGATCAGTGGAGTACCCCTCCGGTATGAAAGAGAGACGCAGATTTAGTACACTGAGCCTGCACATTTTCTTTCATTTTTTACTAAGATGCTAAAAAAGGGTTTCTTCTACCCCCTTCAAACATCTACCGGCGGAACCGTATGTCTAACTACCCCCATCTTCTAACGACTCTTCTATAAACTGTCTACCCTTCTTCGCACTTGCGATTTTTTGTAAGTTTCAAAGTTTTTGTTCAAGTTTTTTAATCCAATTGTCTGAAAATTGCTATGAAGTAAGTCTAAATTCACAATTACAAACACATTTTGTTTGCATGGACAACTTCGTAAATCCAATAGTTGCGCCGTCAATTTGATGGTTATATTTGGAGAGCGACGGAAGAAGAGCCAAAATTTTTTCCGTGATTTGAAAAGTAATTATTTTTAAGTTTAATCTTTTTAACGCCACCTAAGTTTCCAAAAGGTAGCTTTCAAATTGCGAGCTTGCGTGGAAAAGGTCAAAAGTAGAAACTGGCGCTTAAAAAGGTTTTAGCGACGCTAAAGTGTTGTCGAAGTATGCTTTCAAACGGTTTTGGGAAAGCATAAGACTGAACATGAATAAAATACTGAAAGGGAGAAATTATACGACTAACAAAAACAAAGGTCGAAATAACGATTTGTGACACCGATGTATAATTTCTCCCTTTCAATATTTTATTGTTTTCATGTTTTGTTAATTAATGTTTCCTTGATTTAATCTCATCTAGTGTGGAGTTTTCTTGCTATCAATTTCGAGACATCTAGTGATACATTGAAGATGAGGTGTCGGTTGCTTTTGATTGACAGGAGCCAGTTACGAGGGAGAGTTCAACGAGAACAAGTTCCATGGCAGTGGGCGCTACAACTGGCCAGACGGCGCCGTCTACTCCGGACACTTCGAGGACAACAGGTCAGCCAGCTTTATTAATAAACTGATTTTCGAAAGCTAAAAATGGCCATATTGGTGGAGTTGTCTCCAAAATTTCCATACAATTGTTTTTAAATTTGAATGGGCACTGTCCAATTATGGAAAGCTTTCAAAATCTGTTACTGGATGGAACTCCTGTAAGAAGCAAGGAAAACATCATTTAGACTCAGGGGCGGATCTAGGATTTATCCGAGAGGGGTGAACTTTCAAAAAATGGACTTTTTTGAAATGTGCTGACCGAATAATCGCGTCAATTTTTTGCAAAAAAATTGTCAATTTTTTTTGTCAAGTTATTGGAAATTATATGCCAGTAACTTTACTGATGAAATTATATTGATTCAAAACAAAACATCAAGCTGATAAATGTAGTTATAACGTTCGAAAGAGATCGCAAAATTCATTAGCTCGAATTTTTTCAAAGCTTTCTGTTCGAAAATCATAAATCCACTCATTGTTTCTACCATAAAGTTTGCTTGCAAATCGCTGAATTACTTGTGATAGTGTTTTTGTAGTGTTTTTCAAAATTGGGAAATAATTTTCACTTTGAACAAACTTATCCACACAAAACAAAGCATCTCGAAGAATCCTCGTATATAGTTGACCTTAGAGTGTCAAATTAATCTTTTCACTTGTGATTTGAAGGACCGCATGTATACTCAACAGTCTTTCAAATGTATTAAACGTTTCCAAAGAAATTTTCAGTTGTTTCCTTGCAGGATCTGTGGAGACGGGGAATTTCTGGACCCCGATGGACAAGCGTGGGTGGGCAATTTCGACAACAAAATGGCTCTGGGACTCAAGTTCAAACTAGGACTCTAAATGACGTAATTCACAGTTCCTCATCTCCTCATTTCGCAACAGAACTTTCTAGAACATATAGTTTCATATTTTTATATTTCGTATTTTACCTTAGTTTCATATATTTTTTTGCTTCTGTTTGTTTGTTAACATTGTTAAATTAACGTGATTTTACCATAATGTTTTATCAGTCTAATGCGGGTTAGACCAACTAACCAACAGTTGGTCCCTGTGTACTCTTTAACAGCTAATTGAATGAGGTGATGAGTAGGCAAAGCATACATGCGTGCAGGGGCCGATCTAAGATTTCTCGAGGGAGGGTTTGAAAAAACAGACCAAAAGGGCGTTTTTAAGCACTTGGAAATTTTTTTGACCGAAAAAAAATGCGTGAGTTTGAAACCCTGATGGGGAGAGTGGCATACCCCTCCCCTTTAATCCGCTACTGCATGCGGCGATCTATGGTTTTCTCGAGAATAAGTGCGCAAAGTTTTTGTCCGGCGATCTATGGTTTTCTCGAGAATAAGTGCGCAAAATTTTTGTCGATGTTTTTTTTCGAAATAGATCAAACGGATTTTTGAGCCCTCCGGAAGCGCCAAAAAGATCATATGCCCCCTCAGATTTTCGCCCTCTGGAAGCGCCAAGAGATGATAGATATGACCAACGTTTTGATTAATTATCAAAGCGTATGACCTTGACAATGGCACTGAAGCTATAACAAAATAACAAATAATTCAGTGAATCAGACTAAAATGTTAAGAAATGTCATATATTTTTTTCGCTCCGTAGCATCATTTAACATGGTAGCAGGTATATATACTCGGCAAAAAATGTTTTTATCGACTCGACTTTTATGGAACTATTTGTTCAAAACAAACTCTTTTTAACGAATTGAGCTTTTAGGACCTATTTATTAAAAAAATTCTTTTTATCGACTTAAAGATCAAATAGATTGGTACACGAGGATTTCAATTCAAAAAAAATTCAGAAAAGAAACCAAAAAGAACTCAAATAAGATTAACAAAATTAAAATTTTTTTACAGAACTTGACATAACAAAATAACAAATGATTGAAATGGGAGAATCAGTGTCAGAAAGAAACAGATCAAAAACAGAATTGAAATCAAAACAAAACTGCTCGTATCAGGGCGAAGCCCTGATTGTTCAGACTGCTTTTTAAGGTCTATGGAGCAGTAATAGCATGAAAAAATCAAATATAATAAAAATAAAATATTTGAGGTTTTTTTTGAAAATCATCCCCCCACACACCATATAAAATACAAAGTGATAAACTTCGCTCCTAGTAACAAATCAATTATGGCGAACAAGCTTCCTTGAACCAATTTGAAACGATTTCTACGATGGATTAAATCTTCGCTTATGCGTTAATTGCGCGAAAAAATATCGCCCGTTAATTGTCCGAAATTGACCAAAATGGCAATCTTTAAACCCCATAATTTTACGAAAACTGATTACAGGTGAATTATCTTTTCAAATTTAGGCTCAGGACAACAATACTTTTTGAATGGTATAAAGAAACTCCGTCGTAAATGGCTAGTCAAATAGTCGAAATTTGTCTGTGAGATTTGCCGAGGTTTTAGAAAGAAACCTTTGTTGCTGAACAATACGTAAATTGTTTTAGAGTTAAATACTTTGTTAGATAGAATTACTTTGTTGCTTAGTTTCGAATATAACCTTGGTTTAGGAAATTTATCCTGAATGATCATAAGATTAAGTTGAATCAGATTTCTAGCTAACAATAGAGATAACAGATAAAGAATGAACACGATCTGCGTGTATACTCAACAGTCTTTCAAATGTATTAAACGTTTCCCCATGAAATTTTCAGTTGTTTCCTTGCAGGATCTGTGGAGACGGGGAATTCCTGGACCCCGATGGACAAGCATGGGTGGGCAATTTCGACAACAAAATGGCTCTGGGACTCAAGTTCAAACTAGGACTCTAAATGACGTAATTCACAGTTCCTCATCTCCTCATTTCGCAACAACTTTCTAGAACATATAGTTTCATATTTTTAAATTTCGTATTTTACCTTAGTTTTATCATTTTTTTGCTTCTGTTTGTTTGTTAACATTGTTAAATTAACGTGATTTTACCATAATGTTTTATCAGTCTAATGCGGGTTAGACCAACTAACCAACAGTTGGTTCCTGTGTACTCTTTAACAGCTAATTGAATGAGGTGATGAGTAGGCAAAGCATACATGCGTGCAGGGGCCGATCTAAGATTTCTCGAGGGAGGGTTTGAAAAAACAGACCAAAAAGGCGTTTTTAAACACTTAGAAATTTTTGACCGAAAAAATGCGCGATATGGAAAGCCTGATGGGGAGAGTGGCATACCCCTCCCCCTAAATCCGCTACTGCATGCGGCGATCTATGGTTTTCTCGAGAATAAGTGCGCAAAATTTTTGTCGATGTTTTTTTTCGAAATAGATCAAACGGATTTTTGAGCCCTCCGGAAGCGCCAAAAAGATCATATGCCCCCTCAGATTTTCGCCCTCTGGAAGCGCCAAGAGATGATAGATATGACCAACGTTTTGATTAATTATCAAAGCGTATGACCTTGACAATGGCACTGAAGCTATAACAAAATAACAAATAATTCAGTGAATCAGACTAAAATGTTAAGAAATGTCATATATTTTTTTCGCTCCGTAGCATCATTTAACATGGTAGCAGGTATATATACTCGGCAAATATTTTTTTTATCGACTCGACTTTTATGGAACTATTTGTTCAAAACAAACTCTTTTTAACGAATTGAGCTTTTAGGACCTATTTATTAAAAAAATTCTTTTTATCGACTTAAAGATCAAATAGATTGGTACACGAGGATTTCAATTCAAAAAAAATTCAGAAAAGAAACCAAAAAGAACTCAAATAAGATTAACAAAATTAAAAATTTTTTACAGAACTTGACATAACAAAATAACAAATGATTGAAATGGGAGAATCAGTGTCAGAAGGAAACAGATCAAAAACAGAATTGAAATCAAAACAAGACTGCTCGTATCAGGGCGAAGCCCTGATTGTTCAGACTGCTTTTTAAGGTCTATGGAGCAGTAATAGCATGAAAAAATCAAATATAATAAAAATAAAATATTTGAGGTTTTTTTTGAAAATCATCCCCCCACACACCATATAAAATACAAAGTGATAAACTTCGCTCCTAGTAACAAATCAATTATGGCGAACAAGCTTCCTTGAACCAATTTGAAACGATTTCTACGATGGATTAAATCTTCGCTTATGCGTTAATTGCGCGAAAAAATATCGCCCGTTAATTGTCCGAAATTGACCAAAATGGCAATCTTTAAACCCCATAATTTTACGAAAACTGATTACAGGTGAATTATCTTTTCAAATTTAGGCTCAGGACAACAATACTTTTTGAATGGTATAAAGAAACTCCGTCGTAAATGGCTAGTCAAATAGTCGAAATTTGTTTGTGAGATTTGCCGAGGTTTTAGAAAGAAACCTTTGTTGCTGAACAATACGTAAATTGTTTTAGAGTTAAATACTTTGTTAGATAGAATTACTTTGTTGCTTAGTTTCGAATATAACCTTGGTTTAGGAAATTTATCCTGAATGATCATAAGATTAAGTTGAATCAGATTTCTAGCTAACAATAGAGATAACAGATAAAGAATGAACACGATCTGCGTGGAGTTAAGTAGAGGTTAGTGCAATGACCTTGGTTAATATAATTAGCATCAAACTGCAGTAGGACTGGAAAAGAACAACTAAATAACGAAGTACCGAAGGTCGCCTCACGACATTCCCCGCGGGGAAAAAATTTTGAGAAACTTCAAAATTAGAGAAAATAAAGCTGCATTCGGACAACAAATGATTGATAGCCTCCCTATCCCACACAAATGCCATACAGTAAAACAAAATATGATAGCACGAAAGAGTTTGATTAGAGTTTTAAAGAGTTTTAATAGTTTTAACTGAACGAATGGTCAATCTGAGCCAGTAAAATCCTTCCTTTGAGCGATAGAAGGAGACGTCGGAGCTGAGGGTCGAGGGGGAAGACGGTCCCGGATAAGTGGTTTCCGAGGTGAGGATGTGGATACGACCGGCGCATTTGAGAGCATATTTTTTTCCTCCGAGACTGATTTGAGTGACGAGGCTATTGCTGTTTGAGAGGGCAAAATTGAGTCCTCCTCTACTGATTTCACCGAATGTCGCAACAGGTCACCAAAAAACTGGGTAGGCTTTTTGCTACGACGCGACGACCGGACTGACTCAGCATCATCAGCCACTGGTTGAGCAGGTAGAGAAAGCAAAGGGTAGGAGGAAGGCAACTCTGAGGACACTGAATGAGAGGGGAGACCCAATTCTTGTGTTGATTCCTTTTCCGGCGACGAGACAATAACTTCAGGACGAGAGGGACCAACCTCAGGAGGCCCAGTAGGATGAGCGGTTGATGAAGACGCAGTCTGCGGTTGAGGCGAAGTGAACGACCCTTCAGGTTGTTTAGCAGAATGAGCAATCCGCGAGTAGGCAGCATAAGTTGAGGCATGGGGCGTCGACGTTGAGGCAAACTGAGGAGCAAACCGAACCGGAGGCGAATAACACTGAAACATCTGGCGTTTTCCGATGGGAGAAGAATCGTGAGCCACCTGACGACCATTGTTAGACCCGAACGAACTTTCACTGGAAGAGTCAACTGTGAGATCCACCATCGGAGTAGAGAGAGGAGGATTGTTTGGCCGTTGTTCCAGTAGTACAGGCTGCGACCGCGTAATAGGCCGTTTAACTGTTCCTCGAGAAGATGAATTCGAAGCCTGGGTGCGATCACCTATAGTGTTTGGAGCAACTAAAACGGTAGACCGATAATTAGGTTTGAGGCAGATATGATTTTTCCGGTAAAGTTTCCCATTGTCAGTAACATAAGTATGATCCGTAACACAAACAACTTTAAACTTAGTCAGTTTATAAAGAGGTTTCCCCGATTGACGATCAAAAATTTTCCTAAAGATTTTAACTCGACTAGGATCAGACAGTAGAAGGTTTTCTAATTTACTTGTTCTCGAGAGTCGACGAGTTTGCACAACTGGTGCACGCCTGGAGCTGACTTGTGCCCCCGGAGGTGTTACTATAGCCGAGAAGCGAAGAGTGTGGCTTTTGAGTCCGGCTTTAAGAGAATGAGCGAGGTCCGAATGCCGGGTTGCGAGCTCCTTGAGGACCTTTTTCCTCCATCTGGGGAAGATGACGTTTGCATTGCGACCATTTATTCGCCGCCCGAGCTAGTTCCGCCAACGCCTTGTAGGGCTCACTGTCTGCCACATTCCCGTCCATCGAAAACTAAGGTTTGAAGCGTGGAGGAAGTGTTGGACTGGTACTGCAGCGAGGAACAACTTTTGCCCTGTCCCTACTGTAATCATTGCTGGCAATCTGGTCGGGTGTAAGGAGGTTGCGCTCCAGTCCTTGGGCTGAAGTATCAGATTGAACAACATTATTACGTGCTTGAGACCATACAGTATTAGGTTTACGTCCAAAATGCAATTCAAAAGGTGTTTTCTTAAGCACCGCATGGTTACTCTTGCGAATATCCTCAAGTATTTGATGAATCGTATCCTTCAAGTTTTTGAAATTAGGATCGAGTTTTCCCACACCCAGTTTTCTTTTGATTGTCTGAATCGTTCGTTCGACCAACCCACTGCCACGGTGATCTCCGACCGGTGAGAGAATACGTTTAATACCTCTATTGGAGCAGAATTCTTGCACCAAGTTATTTTTAAAACCTGAACCATGATCCGTTCTGATAGAAAGAGGAAGACCATGAATACGAATATAAGATTCAAGGAATTTAGTATACTTCTTAGCCCCAGTGGTTTTGGAGATCAGAACTGAAGGAAATTTAGAGAACCGATCAATCGCTACCAAAAGAAAGATCTTAGACCCCTTTTCATCAAGTATCGGACCAGTAAAATCTAGTTGTAACTCCTGATTAGGTCCAGACAGGACAGGCAAAGATGACGCAGTATTAAAAGTTGACGCGGGCTTAAGGCTCTTACCGAACAGGGTACATTCACGACACTTCTCACACGTCTCAATGATCTGACGCTTCATAAATGGCCACCAGAGGTATTCGGAGGCTGCCATCATAGCCTCTTGTCCCGGATGAGATCGGTGAAGGCGAGCGAGTACAGCTGGTCGAAGGGGTTCAGGAATAGCTAATTTGTTATCGATAACTACACAGTTATTAACCACAGCTGCTTTAGGCCAAAACTGGGCCATATACGCACCAAGCTCGTTGAAAGAGGTGATATCCTTGTTTATGATGGCTCGCTTCATGGGGCCAAGAAAACGATCCTCCACCGTCAATTCCGCCAAAAGATCTGCATCAAAGAGCCCAGGCAAGCCCACAATTTCCTTTTTCGACGAGGAGAGGAGAAGTTTACCCCCATTCACAGCGAGGACACCAATCTTTGCGGCCGTGTTAACTTTGCCTGGCTTTGACAAGCGACATCGTCTCATCGCCTCCAACAATTGCGTGTGACCGTCCTTCCTAGTTGTAGTCCTTGTGGCGACAAAACGGGTCTTGGCGGCCCGTTCCCTTTGTCAGGTTTCGTTGTCGAATCTGATCCAATCGGGACATGCGGTTGAGTTGGCCAGATCGTACTGGCGGCCTTGGACTAGGTCGGCGAAAATTTGGAGAGTTAATTGGAAAAGACTCCACAAATGTTTGTAAATCAGCCTGCTCGGCAGTTGAGTGCAGTATAGTCATAGAGTCAGGTTGAGTGCTAGTGGGGTTCGAGTCAGTATTAATTGGGGTATCGTTTTGAGGTGTAGTCATGTTGAAAAATTTTTTAGATAAAGAAGATGAAAGAAATTGACTGTTTGCTAAAGATTCAGGTCGGAGACAGTGATTATTTGAAACGTCATCTGGTTTGCAATAATCAATTTGCATACCAGTCGCTGATTGGTTGAATCCGTGAGAGCATAAATCGACGCCCTCTTTTGACAAACAACGCGAACAGTCCATCTGCATACCGCAATATGGTTGGTTGAAACATTGAGTGACAATAACATCGCCCCCAACCGGCGAGTGACGTAAATATCGAGCACCATTGTACTGAGACACGAATTGGAC